CCCCCATGTTCCCCACCCTCTGACTGCTCCAACCCCTATCCACACCCCCGCCCCCTGACGACCACCCCGAACTCCCCTGCCCTCTATCCAACCCCCCCTGCTCCCTGCCCCCTTACCATGCTGCCTGGAGCACTGGCGGCTGGCAACGCTACAGCTACGCCGCCCGGTTGGAGCCAGCCATGCCACCGTGCAGCACAGAGTACCGGGTCAGGCCCCGGCTCTGCAGCTGCGCTGCCCCAGGAGCTTGCAGCCCGCTGCCCAGAGCATTGCAGCGGGGTGAACTGAGGCTGCGGAGGAGGGGGAACAGGAGGTGAGGGGCCGGTGGCTAGCCTCCCGGGCAGGAGCTCAGGGGCCGGGCAGGAGGGTCCCACAGGCCGGATGTGGCCCACGGGCCGTAGTTTGCCCACCTCTGCACTAGGCCCTGGCATCATCTAATTTACACCAAGGCTCAGTCCTTCTATCAGGGTGTAAAGAAAACTCCATCAGTTCTGAGGCCAGGAGTGACTACTGTGATCATTCAGTCGGACCGCCTACAGCACCCAGGTCCCAGAACCTCACACAGTGTTTCCTGCATCCGGCTAAGACATGAATGGACTCACAGCATCCAATGTATCAGTGAAGCACGGTGAGTTGCCAAAGGCTGCCCACCAAATCAGTGGCAGAGCTAGGAAGAAAACGCTAGAATCTGGACTACCAATCCTGTGATTCAGTCATGACACTTCTCTCCCTCCCAGAGCAAAGAATAGAACCCAGGAGTCCTGACTCCAATCTCCCCTGCTCTAACCACTAGACCCTGCTCCTTTCCCAAGAGCTGGGTCTAGAACCCAGAAATCCTGACTCTTAGCCCCTGCGCTCCTGCTTCAACCCACTAGACGCCACTCCTTCCTGCCTGAAAGAGCTTTATTGAGGGGTTTTACAATGTGCAATGGATGAAATCTTTGTTTTCTTCTACTGAGGGGCCCCAATCTCAGAATAGTAGCCCAGGTGAGGTCTGCCCAGAGCTGGACAGAGGGAGACAACCTCACTCCCATGCTGAGAAATATCTCTACAAAACATCGCTCAAGATGACATGTCTGGAATTGCTCCCTGTTCCCTATCCCTGGGGAACTGGCTTTAATCAGCTCATTTGGGGCTCACTGAAACCCTCCCAACCCTGCTGCATGGTAGCAGCTGTCCTGCTGTAGTGAGATTTACTCTCCTTTCATGGGTTATTTGCAGCATCCCTGGCTAGAGCCAGCAGGAGAATGATCCTCTCCATTTGCAACAAAGTCAGTGCAGCCGGGCAACAGTGCAAAATGCAACACATTTACCTTGTACGTCCCCATAGACCTCATAATCCAGGGCCCAGAGTCCTGAGGAAGCCATGGTACGGCATGGGCTAGTGCGGTGGGCTGCAGATGGGAGCTGGTGGGAGTGAACAAGGGTTTGCAGCACAGCGTGTTATGTGATCTGCTGCAGGCAGCTCCATCTGCCTGTTACTAAATTGAGCCTTTTGGATGGAGGCAGCATGGTGAGGAAGGAGCAGGCCAAGCCACCCCCACCCCTGCACCCAGCCCTCTCCCACTGCACTCACAAGCCCCACAGCCAACCCCTCCTCCTTCAGGCTCAGCCCCCTCTGCCTGGCTTTTCCCCTCCCAGCTCCCTTACTTCCATGCTATGGGAACCCCCTAGCCCAACTCCCAGCTACCTCCCACTCACCCCAGTGCTAACCTTCCCTCCCAAATACCCAACACCAGTATTGGGATAGGGCACTGGACTGACATTTGGGAGCCTTGGGTTGGCCACTGGTCTGCTCGGTGATCTTAGACAAGTCACTTCCCCTCCCGGTGCCTCAGTTTCACCGTCTGTAAAGTGAGGCTAATGATACTGCCTCCTTTATAAAACACTATATAAGAGCTAGGTATCCCTCATGCTCAGTGCAGGGGTAAACCCCTCCTGTAACATCCCAGCAACAACCTCCCACCCCAGTGCCAACCCTATCCCAGCTACTTCAGACCTCGCCCCCCCCCCCCCCATCTCTATTACCCTTGGAAAGCAGGGAGGGTTGGGCCAATTTGCGGGGGGGAGGAATGTGTGTGCGTGTCGAGCCGGGGGTGTGTGTGATTGGGTCTGGGGGTAGAGCTGGGAGTTAGGGTCTGGAGTAGAATAAATTGGGGGTTGGTCCTGCAGACTGTGAAGTATGGGAGCAAGACTGGGGGGTAGCTGAGGGCTGGGACATGGGGGTTCAGTGAAGGGCTGGGATGGGGGGGATTCAGCGAGCGAGCTGGATGTGGGGGGAGCAGGCGCTGGATGAGGCCAGGTGATCAGTCCTGGATGGTTGGATCTGGGGTTTAGGGGGGCGAGGGCTGTCTGCGAGGGGTCTGGCTATGGGGCTGCGCTGTGGGGTTTTCAGGAGGGGTCGGAGCTGTCTGCGAGGGGACACGGGTGGGACTGGGAAGCTGTCTCTGGATGGGGGGAGGGTCAGACCTGGACGGCTGGACCGGAGGGCGGCGGGGGGCTGCGAGACTGTTGGAGGCGTAGGACTGTCGGCGCGCGCTCCCGCGCGGAAGCAGATGATCGGCGCGCGCTCCCGCGGCTCCCTTGGGCGGGAATGAGCGTTACTAGGACGAGACGGCGTAATGGAGGGAGCGGATACGCGCACGGTGCGGGCGGGGGGGAGTGATGTGAGGCTAAGTTGAGGGGGTCAGGTGCGGGCGCTGGGGGTGGATGGGTCCTTTGGGGGCTCAGCTGTGGGAATGAGGGGATCAGTTAGGTTGCTAGGGACATGGGGGATCAGTGGGGGTCAGGGATGTCACTTTGGGGGATGGGGTGTGAGGAGGGTGCCAGGGGGTGGAGGCATTTCTCCCATTGGCTTTGAGGGCAGGTCCCTAGTATAGGCCTCCCTCTCTGTGTGCGTGCGTGTGTGTGTGTGTGGTGGGGGGGTGTATCTTCTCTGGTATTATGATCTAGAAAGGTCTCCCATTCCTCTCCACCACTGGACCTCAACCTGCACCCCCCCAGCACACACAACTCCATCACCCCTGTGAGCAGTTACCCTCCTACTCACACATCACCCCCCCAGACCCTTGTTACTAGCCTCACTGCCCTAGCCACCTAAATCCATCCCCCCTCCTCCACCCCCCAATCTGTGCCCTGCTTTACTGCACCATCATCCTCTGGCTCACTGGCCTTGATGGTGACCATGACATGGCCCACTGACCCGTCCAGTCTCCTTCGGCCTGGCCAGGCTGGACATTATACACTCACTGGCTGCTTTTTTGTTTTGTTTTTAACAGACAACTTTTCTAAGTGCTTTAAAATCCACATGCTTATTTGGGTTGTCTTGAAATTTTCTGTTCCTCATGAGTGCCTAGGATTTGGTTAGTGGTCCCAATTTGGGGTCATGTGAATGAGGGGTTACTGACATAAATTCCCTCCATAAAAATCATGTGGTATCAAAAATCTCTGATTCTTATGTTTTTCCACATACCTGAGGCGATGTGTTCAGATATTTTGGTGATGGAGCCGTAGAACTACCTTAGCCATCTAGAGAAGTGCTCAGGGCTTTCTGAAAAATCAGGTGTCTTAAGCTCAGCATGTCAAACATTAAGGCATCCGAGATCATTAGTAAAACAAACATTACAGAGGCCTGGACAGACCATAACACTCATCCTGAGGCTGATGTAGAGGTGGCAGCTTCCAGAATGGAGGACTGTGCTGGTGCAACAGCTTCGCAAAGCAACAAGGAACATAGAAAACTCTCCAGCTTATTATTATTAACGTGACAGTAGCTCTTAGACATCCCAGCTGAGATCAGGATGCCATTGGGCTAGGCATGGTATAGCCATTTAGTGAGAGAGAGAGAGAGTCCTTATCTCCAAAGAGTTTACAGTCTAGAAGAACAACAGATAGGAGCGGAAACAAGCATCAAGTGTGAACTTGCCCACGGTCAGTGGCAGATCTGGGGTAACATAAGAACAACCATACTGGGTCAGACCAATGATCCATCTAGCCCAGTATCCTGTCTTCCGACAATGGCCAATCCAGGTGCCCCAGAGGGAATGAACAGAACAGGTAATCATCAATTGATCCATCCCCTGTTGCCCATTCCCATCTTCTGGCAAACAGAGGTTAGAGACACCATCCCTGCCCTTCCTGGCTAATAGCCATTGATGGAACTATCCTCCATGAACTTATCTAGTTCTTTTTTTTAACCCTGTTATAATGTTGGCATTCACAACATCCTCTGGCAAAGAGTTCCACAGACTGACTGTGCATTGTGTGAAGAAATACTTCCTTTTGTTTGTTTTAAACTTGCTGCCTATTAATTTCATTTGGTGACCCCTAGTTCTTGTGTTATGTGATGGAGTAAATAACACTTCCTTATTTACTTTCTCCACACCAGTCATGATTGTATAGATCTCAATCATATCCCCCTTTAGTCGTCTCTTTTCCAAGCTGAAAAGTCCCAGTATTATTAATCTCTCCTCATACGGAAGCTATTCCATACCCCTAATCATTTTTGTTGCCCTTTTCTGAACCTTTTCCAATTCCAATATATCTTTTTTGAGATGGGGCAACCACATCTGCATGCAGTATTCAAGATATGGGCATACCATGGATTTATATAGAGGAAATATGATATTTTCTGTCTTATTATGTATCCCTTTCTTAAGGATTCCAACCATTGTTCACTTTTTTGACTGCCGCTGCACATTGAGTGGATGTTTTCAGAGAACTATCCACAGTGACTCCAAGATCTCTTTCTTAAGTGCTAACAGCTAATTTAGACCCCATCATTTTATATGTATAGTTGGGATTATGTTTTCCAATGTGCATTACTTTGCATTTATCAACATTGAATTTCATCTGCCATTTTGTTGCCCAGTCACCCAGTTTTGAGAGATCCTTTTATAGCTCTTCGCAGTCTGCCTGGGACTGAACTATCTTGAGTAGTTTTGTATCATCTGCAAATTTTGCCACCTCACTGTTTATCCCTTTTTCCAGATCATTTATGAATATGTTGAATAGGACTGGTCCCAGTACAGACCCCTGGGGGACACCACTATTTACCTCTCTCCATTCTGAAAACTGACTATTTATTCCTATCCTTTGTTTCCTATCTTTAACCAGTTACCAATTCATGAGAGGACCTTCCCTCTTATCCCATGACAGCTTACTTTGCTTAAGAGCCTTTCGTGAGGGACCTTGTCACAGGCTTTCTGAAAATCTAAGTACACTATATCCACTGGATCCCCCTTGTCCACATGCTTGTTGATCCCCTCAAAGAATTCTAGTAGATTGGTGAGGCATGATTTCCCTTTACAAATGTTACTCTTCCCCAACAAATTATGTTAATCTATGTGTCTGACAGTTTTGTTCTTTACTATAGTTTCAACCAGTTTGCCTGGTACTGAAGTGAGGCTTACTGTCCTGTAATTACCAGGATCACCTCTGGAGCATTTTTAAAAATTGGCCTCACATTAGCTGTCCTCCAGTCATTTGGTACAGAAGCTGATTTAAATGATAGGTTACAGACTACTATTAGTAGTTCTGCAATTTCACATTGGAGTTCCTTCAGAACTCTTGGGTGAATACCATCTGATCCTGATGACTTATTACTGTTTAGTTTATCAATTTGTTCCAAAACCTCCTCTAATGACATCTCAATCTGGGACAGTTCCTCAGATTTGTCACCTAAAAAGAATGGCTCAGGTTTGGGAATCTCCCTCACAACCTCAGCCATGAAGACCGATGCAAATAATTCATTTAGTTTCTTCACAATGGCCTTATCATCCTTGAGTGCTCCTTTAGCATCTCGATCGTCCAGTGGCCCCACTGGTTGATTAGCAAGCTTCCTGCTTCTGATGTACCCCTTCTGATATAATCCCGGTGTCCTAAGTCTTAGGCCTGTGCCTGAGCCACTGGTCCATGCTTCTTTCCTTAAATAAAGAGCCTGTAGTTTTCTTTCCCTGGTGCTCTTGTAAGTTATGAGCCTCAGAAATGCAGAATCATGAAAGTGAGGTGTAAGTTTCCTGCATTAATAGCTGTGTGTGCACATGTGCGTGTGTGTTCATGCTGCATGGACCTTTGCAGGTGGAGAGGTAGGGATGATACTCTTTCATGGACTATCCAGGGCTTTAGCAAGTATCTGCAACCTATGAGGTACTGCTGTGCAGGCTAGCAGTGTCATACGGAGTTGGATGCATATAGCAGAGGGGGTGCCTCTGCAGCTAGGAAAAGTGTTCAGTAAATAGCACGCTGGTTTAAGTCTGGATTCTGTTCCTGACTTGGATGCCATATGCGACCTTTGTGCCTTGCTTCCTCCTCTGTAAAATGGAGAGGATATCTTCTTGCCTCCCAAGGGTGGGGGAAGATCAATTCCATTAATGGTTGAGATACAATCATGAGGAGGTCTGTAGCAATAGGCTGCTAATGCTGTGTTCTCTCTCCTAGGGTCTACAGATCTGTGTGTCATCAGCCTGGGGATACACGAACGTTGCACTGGCTCAGCGTGTGTGTGTGCTCATGCCTCAAGCAGCAACTGAGCAACTGCTCAGAGCCGGCTGAGCTAGTTCCAGGGAGTCTCTGCTTTTGTGACTGAGGGCAGGTCTTCACTACGGGGGGGGGGGGATTTAAGATACGCAAATTCAACTACGCGAATAGCGTAGCTGAATTTGACGTATCGCAGCCGACTTACCCCGCTGTAGGGACGGCGGCAAAATCGACCTCTGCGGCTTCCCGTCAACGGTGCTTACTCCCACCTCCGCTGGTGGAGTAAGAGCGTCGATTCGGGGATCGATTGTCGCGTCCCAACGGGACGCGATAAATCGATCCCCGAGAGGTCGATTTCTACCCGCCGATTCAGGCGGGTAGTGTAGACCTAGCCTGAGCATCTGGGTCTGATCACTGTGGTGTCTATATGCACGTGGCCACAGTTTATTACATGCTCATCCTGAGGTCTCTAATGAGAACCAAGGAAATAGCTGCTATCTGTCTTCCTCCTTTCTGAGCAGGGGGAGATCCCTTTCTGAGTTCCCAGCCCTTCTCCCTAAGTAAGGCCTACAAGATGTCAACAGGTCAGTGGTTGTAAAGCTGCTTCCCTACCTCTCTGCAAGGATTCATACCTGTCCACATTCCTTTCTCTGGGTCCATTGCCCTCAGTAGGAATGTTGTCCCGGGATTGGAAATCTAAGAGGTTGTTGGAGGGGAAAAGAGAGGCCCAGTGGGAGTAGAGGAGGTTATGAAACTGTGGCCTCATAGAGGTAACCAGCAGAGCTCGAGCCAAGGATAGGCAGCACCGGCTCTTCCTGATGAGGTGGGGTGGGTCAGAGGAAGGTTATTATAGTTACTGAGATCACATGAACTCTGCCATAGTGTTACCCCAGCTGAGAGGACTCCTTCCTCGCACCACAGCTCACCAAACTCCAGGCCTTCAGCTCTGAAACCCTGCATGGCCCCCCACAACTCAAACCCTACATCCTTCCATGTTTAAAGGCTCAAGAACTGGCCCTTCCAGGCTGAGCCAGTTGCCAAGGGGTTAATACGGCAGATCTAGTCGAATCAAGGTGGGTGTTTTGCAACCTCCTGCTGGCTGTGGCATCTTCCCGAAGAGGGAGATTGTTTGTGACACTGGCAGAGGGGGACCTGCCATGAGAGATCTTAATCCACTTTCCATCCTGCTGCAGGGGATTATGCAGCAGCAGAGTCTGGGGTAGGGGGTAGGGGAAGAGAGGAGACTTCTACCCAATAAGCTTGGCCTGTATTTTCCTCCCCAGCTGCCTCTTGTGTGACAGAGAACTTTTGTTTGTTAATAAGGACTTTCTCCCTTTCCCAGCCCTATGTGGATTGATGTGGATTTTCCAGTCCATCTACAGGATTATGGGCATGCAGCATTGGTCTGTAACGCCACAGGCAGTGCGTGGCTCAGTCCCTGCCCCAAGGGGTTTACAACCCTACATGTGGCGCTAGCATCAAAGGGGAACAGGAGATGTTTGTGAAGGAATAAGGTGTTGAAAGTCAATAGCAGGAGGCAGCATGGCCCTCTGGCTAGGACACAGAGAAACTGGCAACCAGGACTCCTGGCTTCTAGGCCAGGCTCTGGGTGGGGAGTGGGGTCTAGTGGGCTGGAAGCTGGGAGTTCGATTCCTGGGTTCTATCCCAGTTCTGGGAAGGGAGTAGGATCTAGTGGTCATAGGGGAAGGCTGGGAGTCAGGACTCCTTGGTTCTATTCCCAGCTCTGTCACTGACCTTGGGCAAGTTCATTCCCCTCTTGTTGTCACTGTTTCCCCTCTCACCCTGTGTCTATTTAGACTGAGCTCTTGGAGGCTTGGCCTGTAGACTGCTCCACACATACGTTTATTGTATCAGTATAATTATTTTGGTCAGGGATGGGCTTTTGTTACAGTATAGTTATACTAGGACAGCCCCCTACTGCAATGCAATTATATTGGGATAAAGGTGCTTTATCTCATTATAGCTTATTCCCCTTGTGAGCTATCTTGGTATAAACACATTTACCCTGGCTGGCTGCATCCAAACTAGGCAGGTTGTAATGCTTTACCCAGACCAAGAGAGTTAAAGCAGGGCAACTTTTGTGTGGATGCAGGACCTTAGTGTGTGTTTGTACAGTGCCTAGCACAACTGGACTCTGCTTTCCACTGGGGCCTGGAGATGCTAGTGAGACAAATAGCAATGGTCACTCAACTCCTCATGGATCAGAGGAACGAAGAGCCTGTCTTACAAGTGGAAACTTAAGAGTTAGTCTTGTCTAGCCTGGCAAAACAAAGGCCGAGAGGGGATCTGATTGCTCTCTCTCTCTGAATACATTGCGGGGAGGGGCCCAGGGAGGGAGAAGAGCTGCTGAAGCTCAAGGACACCATTAGCACAAGAACAAATGGAGATAAACTGGCCAGGAATCAATGTCGGCTGGAAAAGAGGTGGTTTCCAACCGGCAGAGGATTGAGGGTCTGGACAGGGCCGGCTCCAGGCACCAGCTGAGCAAGCTCGTGCTTGGGGCGGCAGATTCTATGGTGCAGCATTCCGTCCAATCCTAGGGCGGCACAGCTGCTTTTTGTTGTTGTTGTTGTTGTTTTTTGTGGAGTTTTTTTTGTTTGTCTTTTTGTTTTGTTTTGTTTGCTGATCCGGTCGCCCTGTAGGGGGCGGTGGCGCGGAGGAGGGGAGCGCCCTGCTGGGAGCGGGCTGCGCACTCTGTCTGCCCCAGCCAGTGCCAGGTCTGTAGCAAGCCCGACAGGGCAGCCCGCATTGTTCTCTCCCCACCGACTGGAGCGGTGCGGAGCCCTCCCGGCAGGCGGCACAGCGGTTGGGGCCACGTGGCAAGCGCCCCGCTGAAGCCCTGGCCGCCCCCCTTCTCTCTCTCCCCCCACTCCCTCCCCCTCCCCCCCAGTAGCTGGGGCACGTCTGCAGCGCAGGGAGTCCCCCTGCACCCTGACTCCGGCTGCCCCGCAGTTTTTTTTTTCTCCCCACTTTGCCGTTCTGGCTGCCCCGATTTTTTTTGGGGGGGGGGCAAAAAAGCCAGAGCCGGCCCCGGGTCTGGAACAGCTTTCTAACAGGAGGATTGGGCCAATCACTCAGTTTTAACATGGATTCTGGAACAGAGTTGCCTGCAATGGCAGGGGACTGGCCTCAGTAACCCAGGAGCTCCCTACTGTTATGTTTCTGGCATACACACAGGGAAGTTAGTCACAACCATAAATACTGTTGCTGGAACATTGCATCACACTATGCTATTTTTTTTAGTTCAGAATGATAACAGACATGATCCCAAATGCAGGGACAGAAAAAGCAGGCTGCAGCCTAATACAGAGAGGCACAACTCACCCCATCTTGCTGCAGTCTTGCTTGTATCAGAACTGACTCAGTCTGCACTCGGCCCAAATCATATGCTTTCCTACAGAGTCCCTTGTCTGGAAGCAAGACCAGGAGCCCCCCTAAAAGTTTAAAGTGATAGGTCACAATTTTAACACGGTTTTCAATACACCAATCTGCTAGCCCTGTGTCCCTGTGTTCAGCAGCTCTGACTCTGGCATCTCTTTGGGCTTTTTGGCTTTGCCGCTTTTCAGAGATGAGCTGCATTTCTCCGGGGTCGGTTCCTGCTCTTGTGCTTTCCCAGAGGGGCCAATCTCTTTCTCACGGTTCCTACCATTTCAGATTTTAGAATATCTCATAATTTGCCTTGAGAGTGAGGAAGAAAGGCAGCTGAAAGGATTAGCCCTGGAAGGGATAGTGCTGGTTTCCTTTAATCTCAGTGATTCTACGCATGGCACAAGCCAGCTCCGGTGCACAACCACCAGTGAGTAGAGTGAAACATAATGAGGATTCTGCTGTCTGTGTTGTTCCTTTGGGTTTAACACCTGCCTTGTATTTTCTTCCTACAGTTGCTGCAGCAGGGAATTTTTGCTCTAAAATCCTCAATGAGCAGATCTGGAAAGGTAAAAACAAAACAAAACCCTCAAATCTGTCTCCATAGACCCTTGGCAAATCCTGGGGAAGCTGTTCTAGTGGCTGATCCTCCTCTCTGTTAAAATATGTTCCTTCTTTGTACTCTGAGTTCTGCTGACTGCAACTCCCAGCCATTGGATCTTGTTTGGCTAAATCAAGAGCCCTCAGTGGGAATTAACCCCTTCCTTGCTGGTGAAATCATGGCTTTCCACACTCAATGGGAGCATTACAGAAGGGACAATGGGACTGCCAGACTGGATCAGACCAAGGTTCTTTTGGTTTTATGTCTCTGCGGCCCCCTACCACATGCTTCAGGGTATGGTGAGGAACCACAAAATGGGCTGTTCTGGAGTCACCTGTACATAGGGGAAAGTTTAATCACCTAAAACAGTGGTCTCCAAGGTTGGGTGCGCAAGAGGATCCTTTGGGGTGCGTGGCAGGAGGAGTGTCGCCGGAGCAGCGCTGCTTCGGCAGTTCGGGCGGGAGTCCAAGCGGCTTTTTTCTTTTTCCTTTTTTTTGCTTGGGGCAGCAAAAATGGTAGAGCCAACCCTGCGGCGTGGCAGGGGTTGCGTGCTCAAAATTTTTTTATTGATGGGGTGCGCGATCAAAAAAGTTTGGAGACCACTGACCTAGAATACTGGTTCTCAACTGCTCAGGGCCCATTTGTAAAACTTTGAGGCCTGTCATGACCCCCCCCATGCCCCTCCAAGATGCCCTCACTGGCAACTGGGCAGGAGGGGCAGTGAGCTGAGACACCCCCCCAAAAAAAACAAATACTGCCTCGCCACAGCCCATGAGGGAAAGAGGGTATGGGGAATTTGGGGGCCTGGAGGTGAAATGGGGAAGCCTAAGGGTGTAGTGAGGAAGAAGTTGGGGTTTTTGGGGAGCCTGGGCATAGAATACAAGGGTAAAGGGATAGGGAATTTGGTGACAGAAGGGGCTGGGGGTGCATTGGGGGAAGATCTGGGGGTCTGGGGTCCAGAATGAGTGATATGACAGATGAGGATTTGCCCTGCTGTGCGAAAGAGGTACATCAGAGGCTCTGAGTTGAGGGGCAAAACAGGGAGTAAGAAAGATGGGTTGTAGCCCGAATGCAGGGTGGGAGTTCATAGTGGGGCTGGTGCTTACCAGAGAACAGGACATCAGCCACTCCCTCCCAGCTTCTGACGCACAGGGCTGGCTGGACTTGGTTTCCTCCTCTGGGCTTTGTAACCTCCAGGGTCACAGCGCTGCTCAGGTTTGGCCTGCCCCCCCACCTGGCTGGCCCAAATTTGTGTGAATGGCATTGCAATCTAGCACCTGGGATCGCAGCACAACTCACTTAAATTTGGCCCGGCCAGTTGGCCCCCCCCCATCATCATGACGGAGGAGTGGCTGGGCCAACCTGAGCAGCGTGATGATCCTGTGCATCAGGTCGCAATGCCCAGCTTGAGGAGCTGAGCCCAGCTAGCCCCACAACTCTTCGATGTATTCTGGTGACCCAATTTTGTGTCGTGACCCATGGGTTGAGAAACCCTGCTTTAGAGTTTGGCTTGTGCCCGGAAGCTAAAGCGTCTCTATTCCCAATTTATTTGCAGTGAGATCTTGATGTTCATAGGGCACAAGATTGAGCATCAGGACACCTGGGTTCTATTACCAACCTGCGGTGTGACCCTGGGCAAGTCTGTTCCCTCTCTGTGTCCCCACCCACCATGTGTCAAGTTAGCTTGCAAGCTTTTCCAGGCAAGGACTATCTGCCCCTGTGTGTCTGTGGCACTCCCAGTACAATCGGGCTCCACTGGGCTAGGTGCTGCACACACACCTAGTGAGAGACAGGCCCTGTCCCAAAGAGCTCATAGGCTGAACAGACACAGGGTGTGAGGGGAAACAGAAGCACTGAGGGGGCAAGGACTTGCCCAAGGTCACACAGGAAGACAGTGACAGCTGGGAATAGAACCCAGGCGTCTTGGCTCGTGCCCTGCTCACTAAAGCACCACTCTGCCTCTATGGGAGCCAGTGCTTTTAATTGGTTTCGGTAGCATGAAGCTTCAGATTGAACTAGTTCGTTCTGGCACATGTGACCCAGAATCTCTCCCTTGTGCAGAAATGGACGGGATGCTGGCTGAGTTCTCTGTGTCCTGGACCAGGCCTTGGCCGGCAGGTGGATGTAGCCACGAACCCCTGGATTCTACCGCACTCCAGCTGGCCTTCGAGGTTTGACTTTCCTGCTCACTTGGTCATACTTCTCAAAGTCACTTCCAAGTATCACGTGGCATCCAACTTGAGGCCTGACCTTGCCAGGTGCTGAGCGCCTCCTGGGAGATGCCGAATACCCTTGGCTTGACTCTAGTGGAAGCTGATAGCATGCCACACCCTGCAGGACTGGACCCCCAGAGATTAAAGACAAGACAAGTATTTGTATTAAGGTAACACCTACAGACCCCAACCAAGATCGAGGTCCCCATCAGGCTGGGCACCACACAGACCCCAACAATCTCAGTTGAGATTATCTTCAGGGCCCGGAGTAATGGGCCGCCGATCTCAGTTGGGCCCTCAAAGTGTTACCATAGTACAAATAACATCTTTCCTGAAGCAAATAATCACTTTCTAGCAGAGGTAATCTCAGGCTGATGACTGTGTGTGACAATGGAGCTAGGATGGGGACTGGGACCCCCACAATACACCCCACAACCAACCTCTCCAAAGTCGCAAGGCGCCGGAGCGCAGCTGTTCTGGAATCTAGGCCATTTATTTAGGTCCCTAAATATAAATAGAGCGGACTGATTTCTTGTGGCATTTGGCGCTTGCAGCCCCTGCTGTCATTGGTGGGAGTTGTGGGTGCACACAAATCAGGCCATGAGTACCCGACTTCAGGCACCCATCTGAGAGCACTGACCCATATGTATGTGACTCTTTCTAGCACAGCCTCAGCTGCTCTTGAAGACACCGAATTCAAGACTAAGGGCCAGATTCTAGTTCCTGATCCAGCCTCTTTATACCATTTAGGTGAACGGATTCTGGCCATAACTCTGTCAGCATAAACCAAGCCATCAACATCCCAGCCAACCCTGGCATCGGGGGCAGGCTAGAGACACCATGGATCTGATTGGCAGTATGCTGACACGCCACTGGCATATGTTAGATCTATCTGTCTCTTGGTGGCTCTAACTGATGCTGGGGCTGGGCTGGCTCTGGATCAAGGAGCTGATTATGGTTCCCTGACTCAGTGCCGGCCTGGTTCCACAGAGTTCAGACACAGGGAGAATTGAGCCCTATTATTAGTTAGGAAGTTTATTTTGCCCGTCAATGATGACGTCTCTCTTATTTCGGTTCTCCCATGAGGTGATCCCGTTTCTGTCCCTAGCGGTTTTGCAGCGACCTTGCAAGCAGCAGTCAAAGCCATGGCTGTATTTTAGGGCATGGAAAAGCAGCTTCTTTATTTTATTCTCAGCTCCACGAAAGGCCTGGGGTTCTGATGATGGACTGTCTGGCAGTAAAACAGTTCATACACAAGATCAGCTTGGTGCACCCAAAGGTAACGCCACCTGGTTTGCAATGACACTAAGGCCCCTTTGCGCTGCCCTGGGGGGAAATATTCCCCTGAAAGTCTCCTCTGAGCAAAGGGCTCCCCTGACTGGCATGAGGGCTCACCTTCAGCCCAACCTCCCGGAGTAGTGGGGATGTGGCTGGACCACATTGTACAATGGGTATTCCAGGAAGCAGAGCAGCCCTGGGGTTATTCTTAACTTCCGGGGGCCGGGTTGCACAGCCCCAGAGTACAGGTAGCACAGCTGGGATTTAAAGCTCCCTTTTCCCCGCCCAACAATCAGGGCCTGTTTTAATTACTTCTTGCAGCATACATGTAATCCCTGGGCCAATTTACATTCCCTGGCACAGCTCCATCAGCTCCCACACAGTTACTCCCTCAGAACTTGCCCCAGTGCCTATCTATTGGGCAACACCCCTTTGGCTTTGTCATTTCAGCTGGTTTAATTGTTGTTCATTACTCTGTCTGGATGAATCCTCCTACAAGCTCTTGTATTATAGCCCATCATTATCCCCTTCCATGGTGTTACCTTTTCCCAGACAACAGTACCCCAGCTTATCCACTGGGTCTCTGCACTAGACTCCTCTCTTTTGCACAGGTGTCTATGCCAGTTTTTGTGACTGGCACCGCCCTGACTTGGGTTCTCCTTCCCTCAAACACAGATCTCTTGCCCTTCCCTAGATGGGCTGGCAGCAGCAGGAATTGAATCCTGTGCTTTGTGATTTGCAAGCAGGAATTGAACCACTGCTTCTTGAGCTGAAGGATCCAGTTCCTAGTGCAAAAAGGCTGTAGCAGACTCATAAACCTCTCCACGAGGCCTGGCTGCGAGAAGGCAATGGGAAGTGGGGGATACGCGATAGGCTGCCTGGCCCTGCTTGGAGCTGGTCTAAGACATGCAGGGTTCCACATGCCCACACAGGGCAGCAAGTGTGCCTAAGGAATACTTTTGCTCCCCTGTGTAGGCAACTCATATTGCTGAAGCCCACACAGCTAGGGAGCACCCAACCTTGTCTATGCTTAGCATGTCAGTCAGGTGAGTGGGCAGAGCAATGGGCAGCACAACAGGGGTCCTAATCTCAGTCAGAGTCTGTGTGGTGCCCAGCACGATGGTGACCCTGATCTCAGTTGCAGTCTGTGCAGATGCCAGCCCGGAGTGGGTCCCAGTCTCGGCTGGGATCTGTGCAGTGCCCAGCATGAGGTCCTGACTCTCCTGATACCTTGTTGATTTGCAGATCAGATTCCATTACTGTGTGAATGTGAATGGCGCTGTGTCTGCGGAGACGTACTGGTGAGTAAGCAAGTGATTGGAATGCCCGTGTGACAGGTCGCGTATCTACGAGATGGGGCTACCTGGGCACTTCACACAGGCCAGCACTCGTAGGAACATCGGCGTTGCCAGACTGGATCAGACCTTAGGTCCATCTGGCCTACTATCCTAGCTCTAACAGTGCCCAACACCCAATGCTTCCAAGGAAAATCTATCTATAGCGACTGCGTGTGGGCAGGACAAGCAAGGCAATGTTTGGAGGAAGATGCAAGAACACCACAGTAAGCACATGTGAGAAAATCTGCCCCCAAACAGCTGGGCCATGTCTACACTACAGGGACTATAATGGTATAACTACATCACTGTAGCTATGCTGGCATAGCCCCGTAGTGTAGACAAAGCCTACACCCATGGAAGGGGTTTTTCCATTGCTATAGGAACATCACCTCCCAGAGCAATGGTAGCTAGGTGATGTAGCTATGTTGACCTACATTTTAAGTATAAGCTAGGCCTAGTCTCACCCTGATCTCTAATAGTTAGAGATTGGCTTAAGCCCTGAGCGAGGAGGTTTAAGTATCCCTGCCAAAATTATTGTCCTTCTTCAAGTCTTTGTCCATGTGTATCCCGCTCATGGTGCATATGTGTCTCACCTGCATGAATGCACCATGAGTGGGGTCCACATGGACTAAGGATCTGGGAAAACGACAGTTTTGTAATGCAAGCAGACATTCTTTCTCACTTACAATGCGTACTTGGTATATTCTTGATATCATTATAAGCATCTAATCCCTGTTTGATTTGTGCTCAGTTCTTAGCCGCAACACCACCCCGTGGCAGTAAATCCAATAGGCTGATCACACGTTGTGTGAAAAAGGATTTCCTTTTATTGGTTTTGAATCTCCCACCTTTCACTCTCACCAAATGTCCCCTTGTCCCTGCATCAGGAGACAGAGAGAACAGAAGCTCCTATTCTCCCTTTTCTAGACCAGCCATTATAATAGAATTGTCTCATCTTTGTCTCCTTTCTAAGATAAGGATTGGAGGAGCTGAGTGAGTTGCCTTATTTTAAAATGGTTTGGTGATACTTAAAAGTGATGCTTACTGGGTTGAAATCCTGTCTTGTTAATTTCTGCTCTCTAGTGGAGAGAAGAGAGAGAGTACATGTGTACTGAATGGAATAAAGCTCCTTACTGACCAGAGACACTATATAAGGTAAGAGATGACTTGGTCACAGCCATAAGTACCACCCTGGGGAGATGATTTCTGATAGCAGACCTCACAGACAAAGGCAGAACAAGTTCCTATGGTTGGAAGCTGAAGCTGAAGCTGGATAAATTCAGATTAGAAATGAATGCACATTTTTAACAGTGAGGGGAATTAACCATTGGGACTGACCTAGGGACTGAGTGGATTCTTCATCAAGACTGGACATCTTTCTAAAAGCTCTGCTGTAGCTCAGCCACCAGACCTGGGCTGGATGCATAAATCACTGGGTGGGTTTCTGTTACCCAGGACATGCAGGAGGCACTATCAGAACAGTCCCTTCTGGCCTTCAAACCTCTGAGTCTTTCAAATTGTGCAAGTGCTGTGTTACGTCGATTGACATACTAGTTATTGACTGGACTCTGCCTCAATCTTGATTCGGGGCTCTCAGTACTGCCATGATATCAATAATGGGTAAATGATAATATCTCTAGTGTTGTCATCCTACTAGTTCTACCTTTGTCCAGAGAGTCTTCCTGGAAAAACAAGTTAGACAGTTATTATTACAGTAGCACTTAGAGGTCCCAGCCGAGTGGGGGATGCCCATCATGCTGGGTGCTGCACAGATCCTTACTGAGATTGGGGCCCCTGTCATGCCTGGCACTGCACATGCACATAGAGCTCACAGTATGTGAGAAGAAGCAGAGGGCAGAGATGGGAAGGGACTTGCCCATGGTCATACAGCAGGCAGTGCCTGAGCTAGAAATAGACCCCAGGTGTCTCGAGTCTCAGTTCAGTGTCCTCACCACTAGACAACACTGCCTCAGATGAGACCTGAATTTCTAATTTGAAGATACAGACACGCAAAAAGTATTATTCCTTCTGGATTTAGACTGTGAACTCTTTGGGGCATGGACCATCTCTCTTGTGTGTTTATACAGCACCTAGCACAATGCTGTCCTGGTCCATGATGGGGGTTCCTAGGTGCTATAGTAATACAAATTAATAATAAATAATAATAATAATAATAATAAATTATACCTTAGAGAGAAGCAAAGCCTCCAGAAAGGGAACAAAGCTGTGCTCTTTTCCACTGGCCTCTGTCTGGGTGCACAGTGGAGGGGAGCTGCTGTTACCATACAGATGGCCTTGCTGTGTGGTGAATTCTCCATCGCTTGGAGTCTTTAAATCCATAGTGGGCATCTCTGTATATGATACTCTGTAGCTCTGCTGCAAGTGATGGCCCATGGGATGCAGGGGATCAGCCTTGATTATTGAATGGGCCCCCTCTTGCCTTTAAAATCAATGAGTTTCCACCATGGGCAGAATTAGGCAAAGAGAAGATTAAATTAACAAGTAAACCAGCAACACCACAGGGCATGAGCCTGAGCCCTGGCTGGAAGTTAGAGAGCTGGGTGCTTTAATCCTCTAAGCACAAAACCTCATAGACGCCCAGGTTACCTCACTGAAAAAGTACTGGGTTCGAAAGCACTGGGAACAGAGGAATGTTAGTCGTTTTTTGAGTGATTGCTCATGTGCATTATGCTCAAGGTACACGTGCGTCCTGAGCAAAGTGGCTGGAAATTTTTTCCCTCAGTGGTACCCGTTAGCACCCTCTGCAGCCACATACTTATAGCACTGGTATAAAGCACCCAGATGATCCCATGTCCCCTCAGTTCCTTCTTACTGCCCGTGACTGCCAGTTTCTGGAACTGCTATCCTTGCTTTGGCAAGCTCTCTCAGTGGTCTTCTTTTCTTGTATCTGTACATAGTTGTAGTCAGTTGTAGTGAAGTTCTGTAACTTTGTGTCTTAGCAGAGTTTTTGTCTGTTCCCCGGTGTCGTGGCATGCCTTTAAGCCCTGCGTCTCCTGTAAAAAGGCTATGCCCCTTAGTGACATGCACTCAAGCTGCCTGAAGTGCCTGGGAGAAGTTCACTTTGGGGACTGTTGCCAGATCTGCAAAGACTTTAAGCCTTGCACAAAGAAGGACCAGGAGGCCAAACTGAAGTTTTTGTTCATGGAGGCAGTGCTGAAACCTCCATCTGAGCCAGACTAGTCGGACTCAGCACTGAGTGCCTCGGTGTAGGTAAGGAGTGCTCCTCCTACCGTACTAGAGTCCGAGTTCCGATCACCATCCCCAGTGCCTAGGAAAGGGCACAAGAAACAGTCAGCCAAGAAGGAACAATCCCCGTCGCCAAAGATGGCCAGACATGGGGATCAGAGTAGAGTGGAACCTAACCAGGCACTCTTCTGTCTTGGTACCGCAGAAGTCGGCACCGTTAATTCCAGCACTACGCAGGCACCATTGAGTCCGGTACCGGATGAGCCATCTACATCTGCAGCACAGCGCGGTACCAACGCTATCTTGGTACCAACCACGCTGGAGGCATTGGCCGCTGCCAGAGACCTTCTCTCGCTGTCAGTACCAGTATCACCAGCAGTACAAGAGTTGGTGTTATCAGTGCCAGCAGTCAGAAAGGAAGCCATTGGTTCCGGTCATTGTTTGGGTCCATGCCTTTGGGTGCCATCAAAAGGGAAGCTGGCTATGCTTGCTTCGGTGTGGACATCTCCACCTCAACAGCAGTCTCTGCCACTGGTGGGAACTGCACCACTATGGTCACTGGACAAAGATTCATCGTCATTTGTGTCAGAGGTGGAGTCTCACTCTTCCTGTCCGAGGAGTTGTTCCGCTACTCCCCCAGGCATTTCTACCCTTCCATGGACATGAGCAGAGGAGTAACATCTAGTGCATAACCAAGAGGTCACTGGGGACCTACACCAGTCCTGTGGCCCTTTTGGAACATGTGGGGGTTTCCCCCAGTTTCCAGGGCTCCTATTGGAAAGAAAAGGGGGGTGGCATCATCCCATCAGCCAGCACCCAGCCTGGACTCTGGAACTGAGCCCAGTCTTGTACTACAAGACCCGGCACAGCAGGATTCTACAGAGGCAGAAAGGGAGGAATAGCTTCCAGAGCCAGTGCTGGCCTCCACCTCCTCCCCTGATGAGGCAGTCTCAGGAGGGGGCGTCACCTCTCCCTCCCCCTGATGACTATAAAGCTCATCAAAAGTTGCTAAAGAGGGTGGCCTTAAATCTGGGCATACATGTGGAGGTAGTGAAAGTGTCCTCACATAGCCTACTTGATATTTTAGCTGCTGTGGGCCCTTCAAAAGCAGGGCCGGCTCCAGGGTTTTGGCCACCCCAAGCAGCCAAAAAAAAAAAAAAAAGACCGCGATTGCGATCTGCGGCAGCAATTCGGTGAGAGGTCCTTCGCTCCCAGCGGGAGTGAGGGACCGTCCGCTGAATTGCTGCCGAATAGCTGGACATGCCACCCCTCTCCGGAGTGGCTGCCCCAAGCACCTGCTTGCCAGGCTGGTGCCTAGAGCTGGCCCTGTTCAAAAGTAGCCTTGCCTCTCAATGAGGCCATTATGGACCCTGTGAAGACCTTATGGCAGCCTCTCACATCCCTTCCCTCCACATCTAAAAGGGCCGAACCCTGTTCCTGCCCAGGGTTATGAGTTCCTGTACGCCCATTGCCCCCCATCCCCGAATCCCCATGGTATCTGCTGCCAATGAGAGAGAAAGACAGAGTCAGCAGGGTACAACCCCAAAATCAATGGATTTGGTAGGAAAATGTATTCTGCTGCGGGGTTACAACACAAACTTGCAAACCAGGAGGTGCTGCTGGGCAGGTTTGATTTTAACATGTGGGACTCCATGCAGAAGTTCAAAGACTTGCTCCCTCAAGAGGTTAGGTAAGAGTTCTCTTTGCTGGTGGATGAAGGAAAATCAGTGGTGAGGATCTTGTTGCAAGCTGCTTTGGATGTGGCTGACTCAGCAGCCAGGTTCATGACTTTGGCAGTGGCCATGTGCAGAAGTTCGTGGCTGCAGTCCTCAGGACTCCTGCAGGAAGTCCAGCAAACCCTTCAGAACATACCTTTTAAAGGCGCTTTGCTCTTTTCAGAACAGACTGATGCGAAGTTTCATGTGTTAAAAGACTCCAGGGTATCCCTTAAGTTGCTTGGATTGTACACACCAGTGCCTTCAAGGAAGCACTACAGGCCTCAACAGCCATCCAGTACTCTGCCCTGGCTGCTCGTCAGGATTTTCAGAGGAAAAGAAGCAGGGGTTAGATATAGCCACTATCCCCTTCTACCTTGATGTCAATGCCTGCCTCTCCCAGACATCCAGGGGTTCTAAGCAGGTGTTTTGACAGGATGCTCGAGGACACCCTATCAGTTCCCGTGATGCCAGACCCTGTTTCTCCTTTGTTTACAAACTGTCTTTCCCACTTCTTCAGTGCATGGTCCTGTATCACCATGGACCTTTGGGTGTTGAGCACAGTGACTGTGGGATAAACCCTCCAGTTTATTTCTACTCTTCCTTCCCACCCTCCCTCCCCGTCCCTCTTCAGGGACCCCTCTCAGGAAGAACTTCTGGCCCAGGAGGTTCAATCTCTCCTTCAGGTGGAAGTTGTGGAAAAGGTTCCACAGAATTTAAGAGGAAAGGAGTTCTGCTCCCATTATTTCCTAATCCTAAAAGCCAAGGGAGGTCTCAGACAAATTTTAGACCTGCATCAACAACAGCTCAACAACTATCTCAAGAGAATAAAGTTCCACATGGTCACCCTGGCATCCATTATCCCTTCCCTGGATCCTGGGGATTGGTACGCTGCCCTTGATTTAAGAGATGCCTACAGTAGAACCTCAGAGTTACAAACACCCTGGGAATGGAGGTTGTTCATAAGTCTGAAATATTTGTAACTGTGTACAAAATGTTATGGTTCTTTCAAAAGTTTACAACTGAACATTGACTTAATACAGCTTTGAAACTTTACTATGCAGAAGAAAAATGCTGCTTTCCCTTTTTTTTTTTTTAGTAGTTTACATTTAACACAGTACCATACTGTATTTGCTTTTTTTGTCTCTGCTGCTCCCTGATTGCGTACTTCTGGTTCCAAATGAGGTGTGTGGTTGACTGGTCAGTTCATAACTTTGGTGTTTGTAACTCTGA